TATATATATATAATATAACTATTTTTTTATTTAGATAATATATTGTCATAAATAGTTATAATTATTACAAAATTAAATAGATAATAATCCACTATATTGATAATTGACTCAAATTTTTGAAGTAATAATTAATAAACAAAAAAAAGGATACAAACGGCCCGTTATTGGAATTCGGGCCCAGCCTACCAGGCCCGACCAAAATACTTACCGAGCAGGATTTTTTCCAACCCTTTCACTGTTCAGACCGGGCTCAGGCCAGCCCGACCCATTAATGGACGGACCGGGTTTGGCCCAACTAAGAAAATTGGTAAGGATAAGTTTAATGGGCCGTGCGGGCCCAATCCAGTAAACAGGTTTAACTATTCTAAGAAACTATTTCAGTTGGGTGGAATATTTCCCTAGGATTAAACAAGCATTCCATATTTAAATAGAGGATATATGAATCAGCAAATTAATTAACATCATCATGAAATGTTTCTCCAGCATTAAACAAGCATTTCATAGTTAAATAGAGGATACATGAATCAACAAATTAATGGTTACTTTTTTCTACGCAATAACTTATTCTGCATAGCAACCAACATTAACACGACGTTGAGATGCTTCCTTACTCATGGTTACTTTTTTCTACGCAATAACTTATTATGCAAGCTATCCATATTTATAGGACTAGTGAGGAAGTTCACAAATTTGGACTTGGCTCATCTTCATTGCATAATAGTAATTTTTATAATGAAAAATACTCTTTTTGTCTCAATTTATATGTTATTTTTTATTTTTCGAAAGTCAAATAATTTAAGTTTGATCAGAAATTTTTTCATGAAATCTTCAAAAAAAATTAAATGATATTTATATATTTGTAAAGTATATTAAAAGTACTATAAGTCACAATAGTTGATAATTCAAAATGTTTAAAAATTTATGAAAAACTTAAAATTAAAAATAAACTTATTTCAATCTAAAAATAGATTTATTTAAATCTAAAAATCCGAAAATTTCTGCATAAAATAACCATTAATTAAAATAAGCAAAAGCTAATGGAAGAGAGAAACGAGACATTGGAAACAAAGACAGAATGTTGATTATTTTTTTTCCCTTTTAATTAATAAAAGTGTGAAGTATATATAGGGATCGAAAGAGATGAAACAAACCATTTGTCCAATTCCCTTACATGCAACATCACACTTGGTATAGAGGTGTCAAGAGATGAAAAAACCTTACAAATATTTTTTTATCTTTTGAAATACACCACAATTTTCCTTACAAACCCTCACATGTTTCAAAAGATTTTATGCACAAAAATATAATTTATTGGATTTTTAGGACAAAATACAATAATTTTGGTGTCTTTTGAATTATGAACTAAATTTAGATCGATAAAATTTAATTTACAGAATTATTGGTGAAATACAATATTTCTATGAACCAATAATTCTTATTGTAAATCATCAGAGACCACATTTTGACCTCAGTAATTTTGTTGTTCAACGTGATTTTGCACCAATAAGCCATTCGCGTGCCTGGTATTCATGAGAGCTCTGGAGACTAGGCCAAAGTTTCATAGGAGCGGTCACGCTCCACTTCTCATATAGGTGAATTCATCAAGTATACACTGTTTTAAATACATCATTCTTAATTAATTACTATGAATTCATTAAGAGTGAAGAACTCATTCCTCATTTTCAGTAGCGGTTCAAGCACTCTCAGTTAGTGCGCTGTGTCAATATTAACTCGTTATTAGCCATATGAATCTACTTTATGGGATCTCCAATCACATAGGTTGGATTACCATCTCTATTGACAATCACATCGGCCTTAAACCCATCTTTTTGTGGTTTGAAGAATTCATTTTCTTCTAATGGATTTAATTAATTATAGTAGATTGTATTATGAATAAATTTTGAAATAAAATAAAAATATATGGGCAAGAAAATCAATACGATATGCAATGATCTATGTATCAAAATATCATGTTAATTTAACATTTAATTCTAAATAGATTCTTAAAAAAATGCATTTATGTCTGTTTGCAATTTTTCTACTAAATTGGTAAAAATAAATAAATACTTATTCCTATATAAGTATTGTGCATGAAAAAGAGCATCAAAAACACATACCGTATCATGCTAAAAAATTTATGTTCATTAAAATAAATTATACATATATAGGACTTTATGTGATAGCAAACATGCTTCTTAGTTCTAAATTTTATGTGTGAGTGATAAAATTAAAAATATTAATCTATCCATTTCAATTTGTTTGTTCTATTTTGACTTGGCATGAACTTAAAGAAATTAAGGAAGATTTTGGAACCTTGTGGTTTTAAACTAAAAATATGTCAAATATGCTAAATGTCCTTTAATCTTGTGATCTTAAACATGTCATGTAGAGTTGGAACTAAGAAAAGAAAAGGAACATTACTTTTTAACAGATTATAAAGAAAAATATGATAGATTAATTGAGTAGATTTCAAGATAATAATGCATAATGGTTCATGATTTTTATATAAGATATAATTAAATCTTATAGGCAAATTAACTTCGAAACTTAATAAATTTGTGTCATTATAGTAAAAAAAATAATTAAATATTAGACTTGAGTGCTTTACAACTTAAAAAATGAATCTACCCATCATTAATACCAATTATACTTAAAAATACTTTTAGGTTTATTCAATTTAATATTTTTTATTCAGTATTCGATATTCATTTCGGAGTTCGATTAATTCTAATGTGCGCCAAAAAAGGCCCCATTTGGATATAGCGCTCCCTATTATGATTTTTTTTTATATCCAAAACTCAAAATAAAGATATTTAATTAAGGAAGGAGCAACATCATTCAATCTATATTCTTTGATGGTTATTTTAATATTTTATTAATACTAAAATTTTTACTAGGATTAGTATTCATTAATGTTGGTCATGCTATAGAAATACATTTTAATATTTGTTAAATAACGATTAATAATCGGTTATATTGAGCCCGTATCTCGGGCCTTAAGAATAGCACCCAACAT